CCAGGTGATCATCTTGGGTGCCTGTGTGAGCAGGCGGGAAAATGGCCACCCCCCCTCCCCCGTCACTTTCTCCCCAAGCCGACAAGCAAGCACCTCTGCAAAGCCAGGGGTCCCTTAAAACCTCGACTCTCCTTCGGAAGAAAAGACAATGCAAAGTCTGTCCTAATATTACCAATGCTTTCCAGCTCCTAATCATCAGAGAGCTTTAACTACAGAGACACCCCTCCCCGAGCAATCATTGGGATGATTTTCTGAAAACATTAGAAATCTGGGTTCTCGTCAGAAGTACTCAGAGCAATTTCAAAAGCCCTAAGCACTTCCAAATGCATTTTAGGAAATTATCTCAATAAGTTGACTCTATATTTCTCACATTACGTAAGTGAAATGCATGAGTCACCGGTGAGGCAGGCTGTGATAAAATGTTCCTTCCCCACCTCACAGAAGGGAACGGGGAGGCTGAGAGAGGTTAGGTCAGGGGAAAAGTCATGAGCAGATTATAAATAGAACCCTAAAAATCATGGTGAAACTATTTGGAGAAAGTGGAACAGACTGGCCCGCTCTATTTTGGCTCAGAGCAGGCCATCTTACCCTTAAGTTTCCCTCTGAGTCCTGCATTTATTTTTACCCTGACCAGAAGCAAAACCTGGTTGGATCCTTTGAAGGAAAATGAATCTGCCAGTCGTGTAAGTGGCTGGATTTGGCATTCATGAAAGAAGTGAGAAGGAGCCGTTCTTGCAGCCGCACTGGAGGATGGCACTGGCAGTCCGTCCACGGACCCTGGGCTGTCTGCCCTAGTTCCAGCCGCCCAGAAAGAAACCGTGTTGAGCATCCCCTGCCCCGTTCCTCCCAAGCCCTCCCTTCCGCTTCCCCTGGCTTCCAGGGTCCCACCCAGTGTCCTGGACTGAGTGACCGCTCGTTACTCCCGAAGGAAATGTCTTCTTCCCTTCTACGCCTGGGAATAGAAATGTATCCGTGCATCCTAGATCAGTGTGCAGACATGTGTGAGGGGTTGGTGCGCTGTGAGCCGATGCACAGTTTGCTGACAGCTGGAGTTGTGTCTTTCTTCCGCTGAAAATGATCTGCTTTGCACTTGTACTCATTCTTCTTGCCAGTTCCCAGACATTTTCCCTATAATATAGCTCTGTGCCCATTGCTATATTCTCTATTTTTATTATCTTTAAGTAGTGGTATAAAAGAGTTGCCATTTAATAAGGCACTTTATGAGTACAACACATCTTGATCAGTGTCACCCCTGTCAACATTCTCACCCCTTCACTTAGTTTTCTTAACTTTCTAGGATAGACATTGGATTCTTGTCTGCATTTTCTCTCTTTTTCTCTTCATGTCTACCCTTTTTCCCTTGACCCTACTCACCCCTTTCGTGTCCCCATTTTCTATTATTTATTTTGTTGAATTTGACTTTGTCTTTCTAAGGAATTACACTATTTCAGTTCTCTCTTGAATCTACCATATTTCATGTAATACATTTCTATACACTTGCACACCACCCAAAGTATTTCCTTACAATTTTATAAGCTAAATCTGGCCTCCACATATAAGGGGAAATAATGTATCTTTTATGTCTCTGGACTTGACTTACTCCACTTAACATCATTTTTCAGGTCTTTCCATTTTTTTTAATAAATGGCATAATATTCTTTCTTACAGATGAGTAAAATTCCACTGTATTTATATACCACATTTTCTTAATCCATTCATCCACTGAGGTCATCTGGGCTGATTCTATATCTTGGCTATGATGAATAGTGCTGCAGTAAACATGGTTGTGCTGGTAGCTTTAGTGTGGCTTTGTTGGTGTTCTATTGTATAAATCCCCAGGAGTGGGATTGCTGGATCATAGGAAAGATCTATGTTTAGTTTGTTGAGGAACCTCCATACTGCTTTCCAGAGTGATTGAACCAGTTTATATCCCCACCAACAATGTAGCAGCATTCCCTTTGGACTAAATCCTTGCCCGCATCTGTTGTTTGTTTTTGTCAATAATGACCATTCTAGCTGGGGTAAGGTGGAATTTCAGTGTTGTTTTGATTTGCATTTCTTTTGTAGCCAGAGATGTTGAGCATTTCTTCATGTGTCTATTGGACATTTTTGCTTCTTTTCTTGAGAATATATTTTTATTAGGAAATCAAATCCAGAAGACTTAAGAGAACTGTTGAGGATTTCTGAGAAATCTCACTCTGACCACAGTACACATTTAATTTCTGGAAGTCACAAGAAGAATCTAAGCTGAACTGCACTGATTCTGTAAGAGTATCGATAGCTACAGGGCTCAGAAATATTCTACCGAATCATTTCCTTCTAGGCTGAAGTATTTTTGTAGGATATACTTATTGCATAAGTGTTTTCCTTTATGTGTTATTGGTCATTTTATTGAGATAAAGTTGATGCTGAGACAGGGGTTATGGTGGCACATCTGCCCAGCCTCTTGGCATAATGGCCATCACAGCCCAAGGTCGCCTCTGGGGCCATTGCTGTTCTTTCCATCCTAGAGTTTGTTTGAGTGCTTTGCCTCTAATTTTCATCAGAATCACTGAAGTTTGGTTAAATCCACTCTTGTGCACTGGTTTGTTTAGTAAGAACCTTCCTTTAGGTCATTTGCATTGGAGGAACAGTTGCGTTGGTAGTATCATCTTTATGTAGAAGGAAGGCCATAAAGTCAGCTCTCCCTGCCCGCCACTGTGCCAGGATCAATGGAGGAAGAGCTCAGGGTTCCAAGGATCCTGAGGCCTCTCGTTGAAAACCCTTTGCTTCCCTCTCCCTGCTCACCACCGTCCTCTCACATGCCCAGGATGTGAGTATCTGCCACCTCACAAGGCCAAGCCCAAAAGCCTGGGCACATACACACCTCCATTGTGTAGCATTTCAGTCTGCACGGTTTGACAGTAGCCCTGGAGGATGCCTTATGCCCTCACCTGATTCCACAGGAGGCGCTGCAGAAGCCAGGTCTTCATGAAACTTCCGCTTCCCTCCATCGCGAGGTATAGCTTGCAAAGTTCCTCTTGCCTGGCAGCAGTGCAAATTCTTTCCTATCACGCTTGGGCTAGGTGTAAGAATGGGTTTTATATTTTTAATTGGGTAGGAAAAAATTATCTTAAAAAAGCTATATGAAATTCAGATTTGAGTGTCCACAAATAAAGTGTTACTCGAGCATCGCCAGACATCTTGTGTCTGCCTTTGAACAATGGCAAAACTCACCATTTTTAATCCATACAGAAAACATATTTACTACCTGGTCTTTAAAGAAAAAGTTTGTTAACTGACACAAAGCCAGTATTTTGGGGGGGGTACACATGGGGTAAAGAGGATATTAGTTTCCCATCATGATAAATGTGGGTACTCATCTGCAAATAGTAGGGCTTAGTGTTCACAACCAGAACGATTAAAGACATTCTTATTCAGAAAGTGCCTATCTTCCAAGCAACCATCACCAAGACCTAGATTTCAGTTATAACAAGTTCAAGAAGTAAGTGAACATGAGCTGGAGAGACTCTGGTATTTTTTCGTAGCTCCAGAATTCAATTTTCTTTTGGACATTCTCGGAACAGCCAGAGAGGGACCTGATCTATTGAGTGTGTAAATAACCTCACCTGGAAGGAAGCGGTGATGCAGTGTGCGTCTGGGTCAGCTGGGTGTGGGGCCACCGCTCACCGCTCCACAAGCCAGGCCCAGGGGGCATGCAGCTCCCTCACAGGCCACAGCCATTTCTTACCGTCGGGGTTTGCTCTTGACTCGGAACGGATCCTGCACATTTTCAAAACATGACCCTGGAGACTGAACAGCCCAGAGTCAGGAAGCTGAGCTGCCTGTCACTGGCTGTTGGGTGGAGTAACTGGGGCATGTTCCATGTGACCCATCGGTTTCTAGCAGACCCTGAGTTTAAGAATTAGAAACCCAGCCTGAGCTGGAAGAAAAGGGCACGGAGATCATGTGGTCCACCAGGTTCCTACCGATGATTTACCTACTTGATAAAACACTCGCAGGTCCCTGTTACCGCAAAATCCCTCTTGAAGATAGGTTTGGCCGCATTCTTTTAGTACATATGCCCTGGGTGAATTCGAAAGAGGCCTTAGGTAGTTTTCCATGCACATCTGCATAACATCTTTCAGCTCATAGTGTAGAAACTGCCTGTCATGTCTACTGGTCTTACAGCCCTGGATTCAACCAGCCAGACATTGGTGGTTCTCCATCTCTCTGGCCAGGCCCTCTATATCTCTGCACTCCTGGAGCACAGGCTTTTTATTATCTGAGAGAACTCTTCTTCCTCAGGAATGTCACCAACAAGAAGTAAAATACGCAATCATTTCTGACAATTAAACTGAATGTGGTCGAGTAGACTGCGTATTTCCAAACAGCATAACGGAGATTGATTGTATCTTCACTTTAAAAGATTAATACACTACTTTAGTAAAGCATAATTTTATTCCATTTCAAATCTCTTTGACAGTTGCTGTCATCAATCTCAGAGAAGCTGTTCTCTTTACCCTCCTGGGAAGACCCAGGTGGTGAATTCTGCAGAGAGATTGCTGGAAATCTGGCATGCTCTCAAGCATGATAAACAGTTTGCTTAAGTGTGCTTCAAATTAATAGAATCACTAAGTGCCCACATAAAGAAAGGAAGATTTTTATTATTTGCCTTTTTCTTTTCCTTTTATGAAATGGTTCATGGTGATTAAAGTCCTAGGAGATGGGGGAGGGCCAGTAAGAGATCAAAATAATTCCTTTTCCTGTATCCACTATTAATAAATATGCAAAATGTCAAGTCCTTTTGAAAGCCTCCGTGCTAGCAAGGACAAACAACGCATTTGTGTTTGGGTGAGGATGAAATTACCCAAAGCGTTTGAAGGCCTCTGACATAATACTTCTGTTTTAAGCCCCTCAGAGTGATGAAGGTTGCTAATTCAATCTTCCCACAGGTTTGATGTTGGAAATTTGCTCTGCTGATTTACAAGAGAGATTTTTTTCTCCTCTCTCTTCTCCAGGCTCACAGGCATGAACCTCCCTTCCCCAGTGATCAGCAGCAAGAACTGGCTACGGCTTCACTTCACCTCTGACAGCAACCATCGGCGGAAGGGCTTCAACGCACAGTTCCAAGGTAGGTGTGCCCGCACGGACACCAGCAGAACGGAATCCTGCCAAAAATGGAAAGAGAAACACAAGTAAGCTGGAAAATGACTTCTGTCTGCCTTACGGACAGTTAACTGTGGAAGGTAGACAGGTAGCATATGGCGCCTCATTAGCAAATCTTCCACATTGTGACCGTGTGTGGTTGAGTTATGGTAACGCTTTTAATGGCCATGCTCCCAACCAGTAAGCACCCACAGTGTTCTGTATGCCTTATTCATGTGCTGGGAATGGGCAGTGGAGGAGTTGCAGGGAAATATATAAAGGCATCCTATTGCCTTCAGTTCTAAAACTTCTTCACACTGTAAAATCTCGGCTATCGGAGTTAGTAACTCACACACAGTGCCTCTCTTTTTCTTAAGTACTGTTATTATAAAGGTGAGGTACAGAGGGGTTACAGTGACATAGTCAGGTAGTGAGTACATTTCTTTTTTGAACAATGTCAACCCCGTAGTGACTCTTAAAGAGTTCTGCAGCTGAACACATGGAGTCTGCGATTGCCAACAGGTCGCACGACTGTAAGCAACCCTGAGGGTATGGGGAGCAAGAAGAAACATTGTAGGGTAGCCTGAGCCCCTGCCAGAACCTTCCCCAGCTGTCAAAGACCACCTTGCCAAGCCCATTACGCCCCATGACGCATCCTGACTCTGCAGGGAGGAGCAGGCAGTCTGTGGGGGGCGGGGGGCTCTCAGACAGCACCCACCGCTCTTCTAAATCTCCTTTCTGGGAAGCACAAATCCTCATGAACATGTGGAGATGGGGAAACCTACTGCACATATTTTCAACACAACCTCAAAGAACAAACATGCAGCCAGTGTTCCAGACAGACAACCAGTAAGACAACCACAGTAATGACTGCAGTGGACATGTGAGTCACTTTTACTACATGGTGCTGTTCCCACTTTGTAAACATGCTTCAACCAAAACCCTGAGTCTTGCTCGTTGGTTCTTGTCATAGAGGAAGGGGACTCGCGTTTCCAGGTTCTGAGCCCCCCCTCTGTTCTCGTAGTCTCTGGAGGGCCACGGCTACTTCCCGGCCATTTGCACAAGCAGGTGAGCAGACGTGTTCCTGCACGCGCGCAGGGCCGGTCACTGCTCCTCAGTCACATGACGGTGGTGAGACAGTGGGGCCCCTCATCTGGAACAAGCTTTTGTTCCATGAGACCCTACCTTGTCTCCAGAGGAAATGTCTGACCTTGCAAAAATACAGAAGACTTCCTTTCTAGCTCGATTCTCTTCTTGTCAAGTAAACAGTCACAACCATAAAGGGTTCCTTCTTCTCCTTCTCTTTTTTATGTTTTTGACTGCCGCCTCCCAATTCCTTTTTCTCTGAAATAACCGGCTTCGCCTTCTCATTCGAGTCATGTCAAAGACAGGCACGAGGCCGACTGACAGGGAAAGGTGCTCAGCGCAGTTCTTCCTAAAACACAGCCTCTCTTAGAACAGTCCAGTCCAGGAAGTGGCTAGCCCAGCCGGGACGCGGCGTCTGCCACACGCATCCGGTTCTCCTGGCAGGAAAGCTTCACGTGGACACCTCGCTTCCTCAGTCTGCCCACAGCGGAGCCCTTTGCTTTCTGTGCTGCCTCCATCGTTAATTATGATTAAATACGGGCCTTGTTAGGAGAATCCATCATCTGAACACGTTGGATGCCTACATGATAAATTTTTGAAGGATGTGAATCTTCAGCCATGAAGCCTTTTCATTCCTAAATGGGCACGCAAGTGAAGGTTGCTAGCTTTACACAGGTTCACCTGACTAGTTATAAAGCAGATTCCACAAGAAAAAAATTGTATGATTTCCTTCACGAATAAATCATTCTTTCAGGAAGTGTTTGTAGTAATGTTCCAGTCTCAGTGGGAAGCGCCCTGCCTCCTTAATTCAGGGCGGCCCAGACAGCACCTTTAAAGCCCATGTTGACACAAATAATTAGCTTGCTTTTTAGGTTATAGTTCCCTATCAGTATTGATTTTTCTTTTCATTTAAAACGAGGACCTTTATACAAAAGGGAGACTTTCCTGTTATTAAAAATGCATTTGGGTAATTGAAAGCTTCAATTCCCAGATTGATTTGAATTGGGATGAAATGTCTGCATTCCCTGGTATCTGGCCTCCCTGGATCCTGGGATGGAGAAGCTCCCCCTGGGGTTCCATCCCCGGGAGCCCAGGCCCTTCCCCCTCTCTCTGCCAGCCAGCCTGACACCTCCAAAGTGTTCCCTTGACCTTGGTAGAAGACCTGAAGGACATCGCGCTTTCAGACATCAATCAATCAATCAATCCTGGGGAAGGCTCGCGGGCTTTGCCTACAGAATACCCGCTTGACCCCCGGCACCAAGGGCAGCTAGCAGTACCATGGACACATGTAGCTTATTCTTCAGTCAAAATAAACCATATGTCAGTGCTGGTGGCTCACGCCTGTCATCCCAGCTACTCAGAAGGCTGACATCTGTGGATCGTGGTTCAAAGCCAGCTGAGGCAGGAAAGTCTGTGAAACTCTTATCTCCAGGTAACCACTCAGAAAAATAGAAGTGGCGCTGTGGCTCAAATGGTAGAGCGCTAGCCTTGAGCTGAAGAGCTGAGGGACAGCGCCCAGGCCCAGAGTTCAGGCCCCACAACCATAATAAACCATAGCAGTGTAATATCGAGTTCTCTAAATCCTTCCTAAAATCACTAAACCTCTGCAAGAAAAAAAGTGTTTACACCTAACGAATTCTCTGAAACCAGACGCACATGAGCTCTCTTCCCCATCTACTTCCATCTCTCTCTAAACAGGAGATTTAGGCCAAGTCCCAACTCCAATATTTTTCATATTAAACATCATAAAATCCGTCTGTGTGTTCCAAGCTATTGGCTCCCGGCCTCTATTTTTATTAAACAGCTATTTTGAGCCATGCCTTTCCTGCACTGTGGCCTCTGTGCCTGGCTTATAAAATGAATAATGTCTGCCTCATGGACTCACGGGAAATGTGGAAGGGGTGGTGACCCGGGCCAAGGCCCTCCGGGGCCGGGTGGGGGCCCTTCCCTCCCGGGGTCACTGACCCCAGCAGCCTGACGGGCCAGGTTTAAGCTCTCAGGATTTCCCACACACGGCTCTTGCGCAGTGAGTTCCGTGTCTCTGAGGTCCTGTGGAGCCAGGCATTGGCCTTCCCTGCACCGGGTCTGTGCCCGTGGGAGTGAACACAGGTTGGAGCCAGAGGATGTGTGCCGAGGACCTGTGCAGCACAGCTGGGGACCGTGGGTTCACCACCGCCAGTCACAGTGCAACCTGCACTCACACCTGGGGACCGTGGGTTCACCACCGCCAGTCACAGTGCGACGTGCACTCACACCTGGGGGCCGTCTGCTCACCACCGCCAGTCACAGCGCTACCTGCACGCACACCTGGGGACCCGTGGGTTCACCACCGCCAGTCACAGTGCAACCTGCACTCACACCAGCAAGACTCAACAAAAATGAAGAAACAAGCGACCTCTGCAGGCGACAGTGTGAACAGTCCTCCCAGACACAGGAGTGGAGGAAGCAGACACGCAGGCCCTCCATGCCTGTGAGGGGCACCAGACACGGCCGTCATCAGCAGACGGCTGTCCTCTGCTCCAGCTGTGTGCGGTGCAGTGAAGGCAGTGCTCCCTGAACCACCCGCTCCCCCCACCCCAAAGGACCCCTGCTCCAGGGGCCAGGCAAGACAACACACGCATGGTGTGACACACTGACTGTGTCAGTGGAGAGAGCCCCGCCCACCAGAGGGAGGGCCCCTGGACAGCAAGGGGCCAGGCCCAGCCTCTGACCCCTCGGAATGCGGCCCAATCTCCCACTGCCCAAATGGCTTCCAGCCACCCCGCTGCCCCATCTCAGTGAGATTGTCTCTGGATTTATCACCCAAGAAGGGAAGAGGGTGGAGAGGATGATCGGGAAGGGCCATCCTGAAGGGAAGGCCTGTGCTCAGAGCCAGATGGTTGGTGAAGGTCAAGTTCAAGGGAAGGGCAGGTGGGGACAGGGCAAGCACAGCTCATAGCCAGTGAAGAGGAGGAAGGTTCTAGGTCCTCATGGAGGAAGGTTCTAGGTCCTCATGGGAACCCAGTGAGGAGGAGGAAGCTTCTAGGTCCCCATGGGAACCCAGTGAGGAGGAAAAAGGTTATGGGTCTTTATGGGTACCCAGCGAGGAGGAGGAAGGTTCTAGGTCCTCATGGGTACCCAGTGAGGAGGAGGAAGGTTCTAAGTCCCCATGGGAACCCAGTGAGGGCTGACTGCATTTATTTTCAACGCACGGCTGGCCTTCAGAAGGAGAGTGTGAAGTGTGTGATTTCCACGTGGAGCTCAGCATTTGAACCAGCATACAGCCAGAGCCAACCCCATAAGCACCCTGGCTGGGCACCGTTCGGGACGTGTTAAATAGTCTACTGTTCACGTCGCCCAGCCAGGCTCACCGCCTTCCCAGACCCTTCCCTACCTGTGTGAAGGAAAGGCAGAATCAACAGGGATGGGATGGGTCGTCCCCCACCCCCACCCCGCTTTTGGCATTTCAGAAGAGTAGGACATCTTATCCAAGGGGGAAATCCATTCCGAGCAAAGTCTCTGTTGCTCCAGTTTCGGCAGTAATTGTTTAGACTAGAGACGGTGGCTGGTTGAGACCGGAGAGAACACACCGCAGGAGCAAAGCTGGCAACCTATTCATTACAAACACTAATCGGCAGAAATCCCACCTAGCGGCAAACTGATGGGATAAATGAGTGTCAGTGTTTATGCTAGATTTTTTATTTTAGTCAAAGGGCTTTTGTGCGGTGATTTATTTAAAAGTTGTAGCTTAAAATATGAACACCCAGCAAGTGCTTATCATTCTTTATAAAACTACTTAGAGTCAAACCTTCCGTTCTCTAAACTACTAAATGCAGTCGACGTTGGCATACTGAGATTTAATGAAGTTGTATGGTAGATTGCAGTTATGTCAAATAGATTAATTCTTGGCAGCAGCAGGTA